GCAGCACACGTCTACAAGAATTATCACTCAGGAACAACTCTTACGTCGGTGCAATTCACTATGACATCCACTTAAAATGAAATTGGATTACATAAAAAGCAGAATTTTTCAAGGAAAGTCACTATCAAAATTAGAAACACTTCACCCCTTATGTGAAATCGAACGAACACAACTTTTACAAAATCTTGCACTCGCAATACTGAAAATACCTTATGCAGGATATTTATTATTATGCAATAGATCAAATTTCATTGATTATGAAGGAAACATACTATTTCCAGGACTTTCAGACATCTATGCACAAGACTACAGAGGATACTTTAAAGATATACAGATTACACTCATTTAAACGGTGAAAAGTACCGTCCGCAAGACATATCAACTATAATTTTTTTAAGTTTCGTAAACCTCAAAAACGAAGTTTTCACCTTTCTAGGATTGCCCTATTGCATCTTAGAAAGATTTACTATCCTCTAGGCTAGGTTGAACTTTTTTGGATTTTCTTCTCATTATTGAAAGGAGTCTTTAACACATGCGCAATATACACACACAAGTAAACAAACAAGGAAGTGTAGCACGCATCTTATTCGCAGGAATTTTCGGTATATTTTCAAGCTGATTTAAAAAAGTTCTTTTAGACGCTCAAATAAACGAATACAAAAAAAAACTATCAACCACACCAAATGCATACGATACTCCACAAGAAAACAGAAGAACAACATCTACTGCACCACAATTACACAATTTACATAATAACCATCTGGTATCTTTTGTACCACGAAATTATAGAAATACAGCAATAACAGAGCTAATCTCTACAAGTCATAGCTCTCCACAAAGCCCAGTTACTCATATAGTAGCCCATCAACCAAATGTAGAAGTCATATACGAGCAAATCGTGGAACAGTCACACACCACTAATTTCCGTTCTCAGAACAACCATCTTTTTAGCCCACGATGAGCCGCTAGATTGGATCCCTCAACCGTTTCCTTTCTTACCCATCCAATCTCCAAGGTCACTCTCCTAACATATCAATCCCTGACCTCATTTCCTCTCCCTTACCATCATTCACTAATAATTCACCACCGATGGATTCTGATGATGATTCCACAAACACAATTTTTTATACCGTCTAACAATTTAATAATTCCGATATTGACACCACAGGCGAATTCCAGAATTCTTACTATCAGACCACTTACAACGACCAACGACCTTACGTTGACGAATATAGCCAAGTTGGCACACTCTCATGGACACCATACTACAACTTCCTTAACCCATAAGCACTTCCTTTTTACAATAACCCAGAACACCAAGAAATATGTCAAACTCAACTACACCACCTAACCACAGCACTGCATGAAAAACAAACAACGACCATGAGACTAACGCAAGTATTAAACAGGTTTCTTGCACAGAAAGCAAACCTCTTCTCAATTAACCACTATGAATAAGCTATTGCACCTTATATTGGAGATACAATCTTAGAAGAAGAGGAAAACACTAAACCCCAACTAACTGAAAAATTTTTCATAAAATCCCAATATGTATTTCTCACATCATCCGACACAATTCACATTAAATTTCCAAATGATTTTTTGCCGACGACGACCCTTTGTATAAAAAATTCGATAATTGAAGCAATAAATTACAAACACTACTAACCATTCTTTATAAATGTCTCATTTTTCTTTTTTAGTTTTCACCACTCAATCAATTAAAACAAAAAAAAATGAATCAAAAAATGTAAAATCTTTTTAAACACTTTTCAAATTCATTTTAACAGTTATAGTATTTAATTAAAGCATTCAAATTTCGCTTTAAGCAGCCGTAATTTTAAAAATAAAACCCTCACAGCAGTAAATTAATTTTTCTGTGTATTAAGTTGATAAAAAATTGCAAAAAAAAATTGAAAAACAACTAACAATTTTAGAAGACGCTTCTTTTATAAATATGAATTGTTCGCTTGCCCATAAACCTCATACTCTGGCCACAATCGCACCGCTCGCCCACGAAGAATTGTTTAAATAATGAATTTCGAGTTTTAGTTTTCACTGATAACAACTCTAACTTGTTTTCACATGTTTAAAACTTTCATTTAGCCCGGTTGGAAAAAATTATATGGCAAGCTGAACTAACCAACGCAGCTTACTAATGCCACAAAAACACAATCTAATAGCATGACTAAAAAAAATCCCACGGTACCCAAACCGGATTAAACCCAGATTAAAACTGGATAAATTGCTTTTTTGATTACCTACCACTTTCAAGTTTTATTAAAACCACATAAAACACAAAAAAGTCGGAAGACAACCCAAAACTAAAAATTCTACTGTTGAGAAAAGAACACAACCAAAACAAAAAAGATATAAACACGTAATGAAAATGTAACAAAAGGTTGAACGTATAAAGAGACTTTGCACAAAGAGATCATAATATATAGCCCACTCCTGGCCTCACCAACCAGAGGGACGTAATGAGCTTGCTCTTTTGCCGGCCTAACCCACTGCGCAATAACTACGCTTTCTGACCACCCTCTATTTTTGCTGAGAGTTGCTCCAGTGTGAGCAACTCTTTAAAAATAATCAAACTAAAATAAAAAACGCTTTTACGATAACAATTAAGACTAAAACTTAACTAACAAGAAGTAATTTTATAAATGCAGACTGTAAAGATTTCTTAGAGCCCAAGGAACAAGCAGCCAAGGAGATAACAACTTGAATACATTCCAACTCTGGAATGGCAAATCTATTTGGTTTGCTGCCAAAGTCACTACCCTCAAAGGATTTCAGGTATGGACTCAACATCGCAGCGAATGAAACCCATTGAACCAGACCAATGGCCAATTCGATGTTGATCACACATACCGATCCTAGACACTTGGCACTTTACACGGAAAAGTCAAACTTCACCCAGCACGTAGTCTCGCTCAAACTTAAGGAAATCGATACATCATTGCATCGACCAGAAGTCTTGAAACAATCACCCTAGACTACCCACGATCAACGAGACCTATCTTGAAACACGAACAAAACAGTCTACTTCCATCTACACAAACATCTACATCTTTCCTCTCTCCAAGAAGTCAGTGCTCACAACTTCTAAAGAAAACTACATCACATGTCCTCCACTACAATAACCAATTGAAAACCAAAAACTCTCTAAACCCCGGATGGGTGGAACCAGTTCTGAACTATTATTTATAAACCAATTATATTACTGATAAAACTATCACTATAAAATATTACTAACTAACCAATCATGTTCCATCTCTACCATTGTCACATATTTGTAAGTGCTGAAACTACTTGTCGTTCCAGCAGCAGAACAATTTGAATAAATCTTTGAATATAGTTGTTCTTCTTCTGGAGAAACTCCAAGAACTAACTCGCGAAAACCCGTATACACTAGATCTATTGAGACTAGGAGATATAAGAGTAAGATTAAGATTGGTTTTAGACTAAGAAGTTACAAAAATCTATACGGCCGAAAATAAGATAGCATGACGAACAGACGGTGTACCCTATCTGAAATTACTCTATGAGTGCAGGCCAAAGGTCATAACTCAAAGGTGATGCATATAGCGTCGAATCACATAATATTAGGAGCAAGAGGGCAATCTTTAAATCCGATAACTTTACGAAAAACGATCACAGGTGAAACATCTTTTCACATTTAAGCTCAGGACAACCATATCTTATATCTTTTGAATGATGTGAAAATTCCGTCAAAAATGGCCAGTTAAAAAGTCAAAAGTTGTCCGAAGAAAAAAAAGCCACCCCGAGCACAAATATTCCGTTACTTTCCTTATGAACAATAACTTTTGGATGATACAAAAAATGCCCTCAAAAATTTTGAAAAAGTTACGCACACGAAGCACAAATATATTCTATCACTTTATTCAAAAATGCGTTAATTTCTCTAGTGCGATGAACCTCAAACTGTCAGTATTTTGCAGAAAAAAATTGCTGATAAAAATAGCTGTAGTTTCGGCACCACTAATTTTGTAGATGGTATACAAAACCTCGTGAAAAAAAATGTTTAAAAAGTCGAAAATCTTCTGAAGAAAGAACATATCAAGGAAGACTAATCCATCTTATTTTTTCTTTGTAAGTCGTAACATGGTTAGTCGAAACAACAATAGCAAGTTATTAACAATTCTTTTTGATATTTGAATTAGTTCAAGAACCTATAATGGAAAAAGTTCATAATGAAGGGAAAGACTGATGCTTGACTCTAACTTTGTTCAATAAGGAAAATTAATTACAGTTCCCATATGCGAGTTCTTATGATTTAAACTTCATAACACAATGTCCGATTGTGGCCAAAAAATTGGCATGTGAATATATTACGCTCTTCTAAACATATTTAGTTACAATACTTACCTTGTAAAAATGGACGTTACACCATGAAAACGATGCGTGTGTGGTGGCCCGGGGGGGGGTGCTAAAAGCGCTTTTTGGAGTTTCTACTTATGAATTATGGAACGCTTTCATTTTAGGGATTCGACCCCTTCACCATCCAAAGGATCCCTTTGTTACTATTTTACGAAATCCATTCTCGGCCGACTGACCCTAAAAATATTCTAAAGGCGCGCCTTAGGCTCCAGTATAAACTAATTTTGGGGGGAGCGCGCGCCGTAAAAACGCAATTTTCAAAGCCTTCCAAAAAGTGTCCAAAAACGGTCATTTTTGTCCTTTTCTTTTAAAAATCTGTCCAATGGGCGGCGCAGAAAGTTTTTGTCCAAATAAAGTAGCCATGGTGCTTTAGGAGAGCTCGGAAAATCAAAAAAAGGTCATCAAAACTTTCGAAAACGTTTTGAAAATTCGCCCCCTGCATCTGAGAAAATCTTAGATCCGCCCTTGCTAGTGAAAATTTTTACCGTCCTCATAAACCCGCACCCTTTATCAGAAAAATCTGAAATCATTCAGAGTTCAAAAGTTATTTTTTCAGCATAAGTGTAATTTAAATTATTTTGTGTTTTGCTTTCAATTAGGGCCACTCCTGATGAGCGGCGTACAACAGCGCCCTCGTCAATCTCCTCCTTCACGGCTATATTCATCATCACCAATGCGGCACTGGGAGTGGGCACTCTCAACTTCCCAGAGGCATTTGCCAGTTCAGGGGGACTCATGGCCAGCATACCCATACTTATTGTTAGCTCAAACAAATTCTTGCGGATTCCACAGAAAGCAAATATTTGATGGAGAATTTAGCACCAGTGAGAGTCAATGATTTTCTGGTTCTGGACACTGGAACCCGTCAAAACAGTCAAAAGAAAATTAGACTGTTGTGGAATGATTTTCTCAGTTTTCAACCAAGTTTTTCTTTGTTTTGGATTCCTCTTGCCGGGCAATGATTTAAAGAGAGGCATTAAAAATTATATCGGCCCGTTACTTCTAACAGAATTGATTACTAGAAAATTTTTTGGTTGTAATTAAGGCCGTTTTTTTGTCTAAGCCAGGAAACCAAATAGCACGAGAAGCTCCGTGTTTTTCGAGAACTGCTTGCTGATATGCCTTGAATTAATATCTATATGGTTTTTTCCAATTGGACAATTGGATCAAACATGTTGGGCAAGCGCATCAATTGCGTTTTGCAATTTTTGTTACCCGGGTCTAGGTCCGCAACTTACGAAAATTTTTTGTAAGTCGCGCCGCATACCGTTTTCAGACTGAATTTTGCAGTCGCCGCGTACTTAAGTCGCGCCATCAGTCTTTTCTTAAGTCGCGCCGTCAGTCTTTTCTTAAGTCGTGCCGCTTAAGTCTTTTCTTAAGTCACGCCGTTTAAGTTTTTTCTTAAGTCGCACCGTCAGTCTTTTCTTAAGTCTCGCCGTTTAAGTTTTTTCTTAAGTCGCAAAGTCAGTCTTTTCTTAAGTCGCGCCATTAATCTTTTCTTAAGTCGCGCCATTAGTCTTTTCTTAAGTCGTGCCGCTTAAGTCTTTTCTTAAGTCACGCCGTTTAAGTTTTTTCTTAAGTCGCACCGTCAGTCTTTTCTTAAGTCGCGCCGTTTAAGTTTTTTCTTAAGTCGCACCGTCAGTCTTTTCTTAAGTCGCGTCATTAGTCTTTTCTTAAGTCGCGCCATAAGTCTTTTCTTAAGTCATGCCGCTTAAGTCTTTTCTTAACTCGCGCCTCTTAAGTCTTTTCTTAAGTCGCGCCGCTTAGTCTTTTCTTAAGTCGCACCGCTTAAGTAAGTCTTTTCTTAAGTCGCGCCGCTTAAGTCTTTTCTTAAGCCGCGCCGCTCGAGTCTTTTCTTAAGTCGCTCCGCTTAAGTCTTTTCTTTAGTCGCGCCGCTTAAGTCTTTTATTAAGTCGCGCCGTAATTTTGTTTCTTTTGTCGTGCCGCTTATGTCTTTTCTTAAGTCGCGCCGTCAGTCTTTTCTTGAGTCGTGCCGCTTAAGCTTAGTATTAAGTCGCGCCGTTTAAGTTTTTTCTTAAGTCGCAACGTCAGTCTTTTCTTAAGTCGCGCCATTAGTCTTTTCTTAAGTCGTGCCATTAGTCTTTTCTTAAGTCGTGCCGCTTAAGTCTTTTCTTAAGTCACGCCGTTTAAGTTTTTTCTTAAGTCGCACCGTCAGTCTTTTCTTAAGTCGCGCCGTTAGTCTTTTCTTAAGTCGCGCCATAAGTGTTTTCTTAAGTCGTGCCGCTTAAGTCTTTTCTTAACTCGCGCCCCTTAAGTTTTTTCTTAAGTCGCACCGTCAGTCTTTTCTTAAGTCGCGCCATTAGTCTTTTCTTAAGTCGCGCCATAAGTCTTTTCTAAAGTCGCACCGCTTAAGCAAGTCTTTTCTTAAGTCGCTCCGCTTAAGTCTTTTCTTAATCCGCGCCGCTTGAGTTTTTTCTTAAGTCGCTCCGCTTAAGTCTTTTCTTTAGTCGCGCCGCTTATGTCTTTTCTTAAGTCGCGCCGTCAGTCTTTTCTTGATTCGCGCCGCTTAAGTCTTTTCTTAAGTCGCGTCGTCATTTTTTTTTCTTTTGTAGCGCCGCTTATGTCTTTTCTTAAGTCGCGCCGTCAGTCTTTTCTTGAGTCGCACCGCTTAAGTCTTTTCTTAAGTCGCGTCGTCATTTTTTTTCTTTTGTCGCGCCGCTTATGTCTTTTCTTAAGTCGCGCCGTCAGTCTTTTCTTGAGTCGCGCCGCTTAAGTCTTTTCTTAAGTCGAGCCGTCGTTTTTTCTTTAGTCGCGCCGCTTAAGTCTTTCTTAAGTCGCGCGGTCAGTCTTTTCTTGAGTCGCGCCGCTTACGTCTTTTCTGAAGTCGCGCCGTCAGTCTTTTCTTAAGTCGCACCGCTTAAGCAAGTCTTTTCTTAAGTCGCTCCGCTTAAGTCTTTTTTTTAGTCGCGCCGCTTATGTCTTTTCTTAAGTCGCGCCGTCAGTCTTTTCTTGATTCGCGCCGCTTAAGTCTTTTCTTAAGTCGCGTCGTCATTTTTTTTCTTTTGTCGCGCCGCTTATGTCTTTTCTTAAGTCGCGCCGTCAGTCTTTTCTTGAGTCGCGCCGCTTAAGTCTTTTCTGAAGTCGCGCCGTCAGTCTTTTCTTGAGTCGCGTCGCTTAAGTCTTTTCATAAGTCATGCCGTCAGTCTTTTCTTAAGCCGCGCCGCTTAAGTCTTTTCTCCATCAGAAGTATTTGAGTGAAATCGAAATGAAATTTTTTGTAAAATTGATGTCTTTGATCTATTATTCATTGCATAAAATGTTCACGTATGTAAAAAATTTTTGGGAGTTTTTGCCTGCAATTGCAAATAAAATGATGACCTGGTAGAAAAAGCAGATAGTTTTTCGCTTGTTTTGATGTGGGATATCGGTTTTCAGTTCTCGGGGATCATGTGCGGACTGTCTCTGGGAGTGTGTGCACTGGCCAATTGGGAGAGTGGGGAGAGGGAGTTCTACCAGGCAGTGCGCTTCTACGCAGGGGGAGCACAGGAGGCCTTATTCCATCTCACCCTCATCCTCGCATACGTGGGCACATGTACCATGTACATGGTCACAGTCGGCGACCAGTCCGATGAAAGTTAGTTATTTACTTAGTCGAGCTCTGTACCTGCAAACAAAACAAAATCCGAAAGAGTTAAGCCTCAAAATCATTAGGCCAAGGCAGGACGAACTTTTTTTTTAGGTCGACCTAATTGAATTTTCGAACTCTCCCAAAGCAAGGTTTTGTCCCAATTTTGGCCAAATTTTTTGCGCCGCAGTCAAAATTTTGAAAAAACAGGCCAAAAAGGCGTTTTTAGGCACTTTTTGGAAAATTTTGAAAGAAAAATAGCGTTTTTTCGGCGCGCAATGCCCCCTCAAAATTAGTATACGTTGGCGCCAAAAGGCGCCTTTAGAAAAGTTTTAGGGTCGTTAGTCCAAAAATGGATTTCTTAAAAAGTATCAAAGTTCGGCAGGGGGTCGAATCCCTGAGAGCAGGGCGTCCCCCCGCCCCCCCCCCCCCACCTTTATCAAAGTAACCACCCCTGGGCCCAGGAGATTTACTTTGATAAAAGTTGATTGTTTGATTTTTGTGCATATACCGAATGCGAAAAAAAATCAACCAATTAACGTACTTGAAACTGCTCGAAAACCTAATGATTTTGATGCTACAGTGTTGACTTAAATTATCCGGACAATACGGGGCAGTGTAACAGTGCCGAAAATAAATGTTTCGTTCATCAGTGCCGAAAACTAGTTTGAATACTGTTTTTACTCATTCCAAATCACACTGACAGGTAACTATGTTCAAACTGAAAAGGGGAAATGGGTTTTTCAATTTTTGCCGCTTGATGAACCAACAGAAGTTTCCCAATTGTGGTGTCATAAAGTTTTTGAACAAACAATCAACTCAGCAAATTATTAAGTTTTCTTCTCGGTTTCGCTCCAGACAAAACAGTTTTCACACAAAACTGCTACTAAATCACAGTTTAAAATTTTTTAATTATCAAAATTTTTTGGCTCTGTTGAACTACTGTTCAATTTCGGCACTGATGTACATCGGCACTGTTGAACGCCCCTGACAAACTGAACAAAACGTGAGTTCTCAAACGCGTTTTTTATTCAAATTTGGTTAAGATTAGACAAAAAGAGAAGAGAACAAAAAATGCTCAGAACTTTACCAGAATTAATATGATGCATTTTCCTGATTAAAGGTGCATTTTATTGATTAAATGCCGATTTTATCCCAAAAACAAAATTGCCCATTTTTGGGGTAAATTTTTGGTTGAGAATTTGGGAGAAAAAATTGCAACATATTAATTCTGGTGAAAGTCAAAGCAACTATTCTTCTCTTCACTTTTTGAGAAAAACGCGCTCGAACTTTCCTGTTTTGTTCATTTTGTCAGGATAATTTAAATCAGCACTGTAGTTACGTGTTGGCAACTGACTATAACTTTTAATTTTCCTTCCCTTCAAAAGAGAGACCAGCTGTAATATAAAAAACTGATGGATGTCAAGTTATTAAGGCCTGAATGTTGTTTTAATCATTCAATAATTTAATGCAGGGAAACTGTGATACTTGCGGAGCCATGAAAAACTAATCTGATATAGAGTGGCTCTCGCAGGGGCGGGCTTAGGCTTTTTTCGAGGGGGGGGGGGGGCGGATTTTCAAAAATTTCAAAAATGTTTTGAAAATTTTGTCGACTTATATTTTGGGTCAACCAAACTGATTTTCTCAGCTCTGGCAAACTACTACAAAGACCCCATTTTGACCATATTTTTTTTTGCGCCGCAAGCAATTTTTCGAAAAAAAAAACAGGACAAAACAGGCGTTTTTAGGCACTTTTGGAAAATTTTTGAACACAAAATTGCGTTTTTTGGCGCTCGCTTCCCCCGCAAAAATATGATAAATTGGCGACGAATTTATAGCCATTAGGGGGCGGCATTAGAAAAATTTTAGCTCCAGTCAGTCCCTTCCAAAATCTGCCCTAGACTCTTGCACTGTTTTATTAGGTTATCAATTGAAAAAGAGCCCGTATACTGAACCCTGTTTTGAAATTGTGAATGATATGCGACAAAATATACCAACTTGATTTAAAGGATAGGTTTATGTTTAATTCTAGTAGTGGTGCGCATTTTCGGCAAAGACACCTACTGCGACTCCTGGTTCTTAGATAGAAAGATTACCATCACTGTTCTCAGCACACTGGTCATTTTGCCCCTCTGCCTGGCTAAGAGTCTGGAGTTCCTCAAGTACCCCAGTCTGCTGGCTGTTCTGTCCATGTTGTACCTAACATCAATCATTGTGGTGGACTACTTCCTGAATGGAGCCACAAATCAGGCACAAGTCGATAAAGTGTATGCATTTTTTTTATTCGATCCCAAAAAAATTGTTATGTAGTATAAATTATTTGTTCATGTGGTTTTTGTTGCATAACAGTTTTGAATAACCTTTTTTCATTTTAAACAATTTCAACTTTTGAAATGTCGAATACTTTGGGATTGATTCCTTTTTAAAGAAAAATAGAGGTGATATTGAAATGTGACTTCTTTGTTTCAGCCCAGAAGACTTGGTGGGGTTGTTTAATGCCTTTCCTACCATGGTATTGGGATACCAGGTATGCAAACTGCATTTTTTAAAAACTTTTTTATTGAACTATATCGATATGAAGATTTGAACCAAAAATCAAAATCAACAATTTAACAGGGAAACATCTAAATTTTGCCGTATGATTGCTTTGATTTCTAGTGTATGTCAAATGGGTACTCAGTGTTTGGGCTGATGGCCTCGCCCACCCCTTTCAAGTACTCACTGTCCATAGTGGGAAGTGTGGCCATCATGACTTTCATCTACTTTCCAGTGGCCACTTGTGGATATCTCAGGAATGGCAGAAAGGTAACAAAAACACACTATGCTGGTAGTTGTAGTAAAAACATTTTCTGACTTGCTGAAAAATTTTATGCAAATTTATGAAGTAACAGAAAAAAGTGTGCTAATTTAGTTTATAGGTTCATTTTACAAAAAAAAAATAAGCGCACGAAAAGCATGAACTTATTCCGCTTTGCATTACCTAAAAATTCGATCGACACAGACACGACCTGAACTTATACCAAGTAATTTTCAGTCGATATGAACCAATTTGGAGCAAGTTAACATCCCCCGATCCCCTCAAAGCCGTTTGGCAGGAGGAGGTTAACTTGTTTCTAACTTGGAGTTTTCAGCCAATCAGAATTGAGCTTTATACATGCACCGCTTAGCAAAGTTATTCTGAATCAAACGCTGGGGTGGAAGATCTTTACTTGGCCTAGCTGGGGTCCACTTGTATTAACTTGATCCACTGTTTTTAAGGTACTCTGGTGTTTCAGAGCAAGACCAAATGTCAGAAAATGTTCGAGCAAAAAAATTGTGCATATTTTTGAAAAATTATCTCATCTGCCCATATTTTCCGGGTGAGTGGCAATATCCTGCTGGACTATGACTCCAGTGACAACACAGTGTTGGCGGCACAGGTGGCCGTGCTAGTCGCTGTCATGATGTCATACCCCACCATATTCTCCATCACAAGGTCAGTCATAAAGTGCCGTTAGCCTAGTCTCGGGTGGTCCGAATTTGATTCAGCATTAGTGTTTGCCACGACTGATTCAACACTGTCATGCTTAAAGCAAGGTACAATGCACATTTAGATTTGTTTACTTCATATGATGTAGATGGTTTAGACGTGTGTTTAGAGCGAGTATAGACAAAATCTGGGTGGCCAGCAGAAGTCGTCTGAGTCTCTGCTACAATGCTGAGAGGCATGACAGAGTGAGGAGGATTGTGATTGCAGTTGGCCACTTTCTGCTCACCCTAGCAGTGGCTCTCTTTCTGCCAAATATCAGTGTGGCTGCCGCATTCACTGGCTCCATGTCTACTTTCCCCTACTTCATATTCCCAGGTACATAATGCTTAATCATATTTTGGCTGAAAACCACGCTTATTGAAAAGATATTTCTTGTCAAAAATTTGTTTCGAAACTTGAGTTAAGTTTTAAATGGTCTTGCCAGCAACTTGAATGAGAAAATTTCAGAAAAGCGTGAGATTTGTTATAGAAGATTGATGATAAATTTTGTTTTTCCAAACCGAAGATGGCGAGCTAATTGTGAATCTGAAAGCAAGGGGTTTTGGGGTAGCCATGGATTGAGAAAAAAAATAGTAATAAAGCGATATGGTCAAACTTACTTTCTGATTCAGGGATCTTCTTAATTCAAACTACCTATCTCAACGAAAAAGGCCAATTCATTCATCTCTTGAGGTCCAAAAAAGACCAGCATAGACAAGAGTCCTTTGCCACTGGGTTCAATGGTGAACTACGAGGAACAGAACTTCTCGAGAGCGGACAAGGGGACGAGAGGAGGGCAAGTTGGGGGGAGACGAGCGATGAAGTGTTTTTACGCAATCAGAGGGGGGAGGAGCAACGAGATGCGGAGGAGCATCAGGCTACCCAGTCCCAAGGCTATTGGAGGCACTCCCCTACGGATTCTTACCTATTCACGAACAAACATAAAAACGGATGTCTCTCTTGGATATTAAGAATAACAGGGGTAGTTTTTTGCGCTCTCGGAGTTTTCATACTTGGTCTTGGATTTGCACATGCTTTTGAGACCGTCAATGTACCCGAGACATCAAATATTGAGTGCAAATAATCAATTGCATAATGAATTAGTTTTTTTTTACAAGCTAATGAGTATAAATAGTTGTTAGATTTGAATATATAATCAATCTTGAGTTGAGCTGAGTTGTTATTTAGATTAATTTGGTACAGAAAAAGAAGCTAATATAAATTTTTCTGTGATGGTTTTACTATAGTTATACAATAGTATTAGTATACTGATTGCTGAAAAAGCATTAGACCATTTTTTGACCATTGATCCGCATTGGTAAAGTTCCCTTTAAGATTTTCAATTCAAGGCGCACCGTAGCACTGATAAAAGTTCCGCTTTTTTTCGAAAGTAGGAACAAAAACACAAATTTAGAGTAACCGTGCATAGCTATCCATTTAAAGATCACTGGAAGATCGATATTCAAAGAATATTTATTTGAAAGCTTTGTAATATGATGTTCATTCTAAAAAATGAAATTGTAATTACGATAAAAATTACGTAGTTGCACTTGTTCGTCACATGTGATTCAAAACTCGAGAGAAATTGCGTGCCACAAGTGATTCACATTTCCAAACATGTAAAAGCACATGTTCTTACGTATTTTTTAAGAACCCTCTCGTAATTTTTGAGTAATTAACATGTTTTTTTTTGTGAATACGCGTGTCAGCTAATGTGTAATCACATGTCAGAAATTGAGATTTGATCAAGATTTACCTGATTGCTCATGCAAATTCACATTTGTGCTCATGTAAATGCACATGGATGTTCATGTAAGTTCTCATGTATGTTCATGTAAACTAACATGTCTGCTCATGTAAGTTCAAATATTCGCACATGTGAAACCAGATGAGCAAACATGTTGTCATCCGGCATGGATAGATAAAACTCCATATCAAACTTCTTAAGTATTTATATATCATTTATGTTTTGATATTATATAACATTAATGTGCACTGGTCGACTGACCTTGATAACAAGGACGAGAACGTTGTCCAAAGAGAACTACGGATCAGAACTAAAACAAAGGTTACATTCACCAGTTGTTTTAACTTATTCTCTATCAAAGCTTGATATTATCTATCCATACGGATTCGATAACTAACATTTTATACCTCGAGGAGTTAGCGGTATGACATGGCGCAGCCAGCAGGAGTCTCAAAGAGTCCACATAACTTGAACCCTTTCTGGGAAAGAGCATCGGCTGAACCTCCATGAGAGTGGACAAAATGAGCGGCACTATTCGCAAAAGATGGAATGGAAATTCGAAACCTACCACGAGCCCCACCACAACTTGTAGAGCCATCTGAGCCAGTATACGAGGTCGAGATAACCGGCAAAACGGACGCCCAAAGAAAAAACCGCGAGGTGCGCAACCAAGTAAAACGAGTGGGCTGGGAAAACCACGTGATAAAATCACGGGAAAAAGGAGTTCCGTGTAATTCATTCAGATGGGATGAAGCGGATGCAAAAGTACGAAGCTATCTTTTCTTGTGTCTCGGCGCTGAAGGACAACGTCAAGTACAACAACAACGACCAAATATGCAACTACACACGGTATCCACGCAACAATTCATGACTGCTTTGGAGGATATATTTGTCACAAGACGAATAATAGCTTTTGAGAGGTATAATTTGATTTGTCGAAAACAAAAGAAAACAGAAAGTTTAGAACAATTTCATGCTCACCTAGTGGAACTAGCTTCACGGGCGGATTGCGGCGACCGATTAAAGGAGTTGCTTAGGGACATGTTTACCGCGAGGAGTTTTTAGCCCAAACACGTACCCCACAGGAGGCATAAGAATACGCGATTCGACGTGAAAAAGGAATAGAACGCAGTTGCACAATGAAAGTAAATCCGATCGGAGGTCCAACAGCTACAACCACAAAACAAGAACCAATACATTACGTTAATACACGTGGCAGACAAAGCCAACAGTACAACCAAAACAACCAACGAGGTCGGGGAGGTTTCCGCGGCCGACCATATCTACGTGGATCACAAAACACATGAGATCAACAATATCAGCAACAACGAAACACAAATTCCAAACAAGGTTTCAAGTGTGGAAATCAATATGGTCCGAATCATCTACTATCTTGCCCGGCAAAAGATAAATTTGTTCAAAATGCGCAAAACCCGGATTTTTTGCAAAAATTTGCCGCTCTACAAACGTAAACTATCTAGGAAATACAAATGAGGAACAACAAGAAGAAACCAAAAAAGAGAGCACGCGGATGGATACCGACCCGGTGGCATTTGCTGAATTCACCACAAACAATGGTTGGGAAAATTACCAAATGGATGAACTTTCCGTGATGGCAATATCAGAATCATTTGAAATTAAAAACACGAAAACAATATCGGAAGACGATTTGAACGGCTACATTGTCAAATTGGAAACAAATACAACAGAACTATTCGCAATTGCGGATTCAGGCAGCCCAATGTCTTTTCTACACGAAAAAACCGCTCAACGATTACAACAAAATGATAAAACGGCAGTATTCAAAAACATCCCCCCGGAGGATACCGCCAGAAACTTAGCATGTTACAACGGTGAATCAATACATCCTAAAGGACGACTAATTGTAACTATTGAATCGGGAGGGTGGAAAGTACAAACAACCCCGTTCGTTAAAGTGGACGACCAAAAAGCCAATATAATCGGACGAAATCTACTACCACGCATCGGCATCAAATTAGTCCAAGACAAACAAACCCAAAAGGTACTCACAGAACAACGAAGCGACGAATCAAGTCATGAAATCAAACAACGGGTCAAGGATAATTTTCAACAATTATGCGTACGAACAGGAAAGTCAAAACATCACGTGATGAAAACACAATTCAATAGAGATTTTGAACCGATACAACAAAAGGGCAGACGTATACCCATACATTTACAAGAAAGGGTCGAAGTGGAACTAAACAATCTGATTGACCAAAAACACATTATCAAGCTCGATAAGTGCTCAGACAAACAATTTATCAGCCCAATAGTAATCACGGTTGAAAAGGACCAAACGGTTAAGCTAGCACTAGATTCCAAAAAGATTAACAAATACATACACAAAAACAAGTATCAGATGTCAAACATAGATCTCCTTCTAGACAATATCGCAAAAGTGGAGAAGTCAGACAAGTCGAATGAAACGTTATTCAATACACTCGATTTTCGATACGCATATTCAAAAATCCCGTTGGATAAAACAACACGAGAACAGTGCAACTTCAGACTCATTGACTGAAATGCTACAGGAACATACCAATTCCAAACAGGATTTTACGGCCTAACGGATATGCCGGCAGAGTTTCAAAAAGCAGTGTATCTAACACTCACAAATTGCAATGATACTTACGCATATCTCGACGATATTCTAGTCGTAACAAAAGGAACGCTGGAGACACATCGTCAAAAACTCCAAACGGTGCAAACAAAACTTGACGAGGAAAACCTTGCAATTTCGTTGGACAAGTGTAAGTTCGCATGCAAACAAGTTGAGTGGTTAGGTTACATCATAAACAGTGAGGGAACAAAACCATTTACACAGAAAACAGAGGCAATTGAAAAACTATCGCCTCCCAAAACGTTTAAGCAACTAAAAAGTTTCATGGGTTCAATACACCATCTTACAAGATACATACTAAATTTAGCACAAACAGCGGCAGCGCTTCGGCCACTTCTAAAAAACGCTGAAAAGAACAGACCTAATAATTGGCTACCGGAACACAACTCAGCTTTCAAAAACATCCTACAGTTAGTAGCAAAAATAACACAAAATAAACACTCGACCTACATTTAGAAACTCGCATCGTATGTGATGCATCTAACACAGGTTTAGGAGCGGCACTAGAACAACATTCAACAGAAGGTTGGTTGGCTATAGCAAACGCGTCACGTTTTTTACACTCCCTTGTGGAAAACTATTCAGTCAACGAACTAGAATTGTTATGATTCGTTTGGGTAATTGAGCACTTCAAATACTATTTGTACGGCAAACATTTTACCGTCATCACCGATCCTCAAGCTTTAATCAGCGCTTTAAACGCCAGCGATGATCAAAGACAAGACGAAGCCGTCTAACCCGCTGGATTGATAGATTAATACCACTCCATTTTGATAATAAACATCTCGCAGGGAGTAAAATGGGCTTAATAGACTACATGTCACGAAATCTGGTTGGATTACCAATACCCCCCAGCGTGTATGATGAGGAATTTGTAGTTGCGGCAATTAATACATTCATAAACAACCTAGAAATGATTGACAATGTTATTCTAAACCAGTTGGCCAATCAAAACAAAGCACCATGTGACCTAATCAAAAAGCGCGCGGAAAACAAAGGGCTATTAGATGCTGAAACAAACTCTCAATTAATAACTAAACATTCCAAACATTCGGCAGTGGTCAATTGCTACCGAAAAACAAAAGTCAGTCTAACTCAAACTCTGCTCGAAGTCAGTCAACACTTCATTCTGCTCAAAATCAGTCAACACTCTCGGATTCAAAAATCGCAGATTCAACAAGACTTCGATCAACGCAATTCAATTCAAAACAAAGAGCCGAAAAGACACGAGATACTTCGCAGGCGGATTCATTCCATCAGAATTGAAAATCACGAAACCATGCGGTCGAACAGTTTCGGTTGACTGGAACAGTACATCCGATAGGGAAGAAAGCCTTTCCGACCCGAGATGGCACAAACGACCACCAACCAAGGACAAACAAATAAAGAAAGCTAAATCAGCTACACAATCGAACTCGACCGCACAAGTGACCGACGCTAGATAATTGATCACAAGATCGAAACATACAAACTTTCCGAAAATCAATTTTGGAAACAGCCCAACGTCAAAATCAACAGTAACGGAAAGATGCAATTCACAAACTATTAAAACACAATCTGGCACAGCCCAAGCATACATAGCCACACAAAAAAAACTACAAACACAGAGTTGGACAAATTGACAACAAACTCAACTACAGAGACACAAACATACAACAATACAGGAAACGATCATCTAATGGAACAGGAGATATGGGTCAGCCGCGTGGACCCCAATGTATGTTTACAAGAGGAAACAACACCTAGCGTGGAGCCGCTGACGATAACAACTTCTTTACAACTA